CTTCACTGTCCAGTTGAGGGGAAGAATATTTGTCCACTCATGGGGAGGGGAGTATCAGGCCTCAAAATGTTACGTATACCGGCAAGCCAAACAACTTTTATTTGGGTGATTATTGAAGTGTTAGTTTTACCATGAAGGAAAATATACGCTTGTTTTAAACCCTTCTGAACAAATTCATGAGTTGAGTTTTGCTAAAACCAATCAATAGCGTCTCTGTAACAGCCTATTACCACACGCCATCATGGTCATGTAAACCAGTGGGGGCGTCAATTATCTCCATAAATGTTGAAAAATGCACTACAAAACAGTGCCAATAGCCTCCAAAGTACGCATATTATTACCACCCTTCACTCTTGTATATTCAAGGTGTCACACTCCGTGACACCACTCAACTAAATTTTGCACTTTAAATGAAGTAGAACAAATTTCCTATGATGCTTCCTAATTGCTTTTGATTTCAGACAGGAGCGAAGGTAATAATTCGTGGCAAGGGTTCTATGAGGGAAGGTAAGGTTGGTCGGAGAGACGGACTTCCGATGCCTGGAGAGGATGAGCCTCTCCATGCCTACATTACAGCTCCTACAGCTGAGTGCGTGGATAAAGCAGTAAAGAAAATAAATGAAATCATTAGACAGGCGATTGAAATCCCAAAAAGTCAGAATGATCTTCGCAGAGCCCAGTTGCGTGAGCTCGCTGTACTTAATGGAACTTTAATTGACGATCAAGAGTGGATGAAAATTCGCGCAATGACTGAGGCGCAATCAATTGCCACCAATAAAATTCAGTGTGGTATATGTGGAGGTAAGTCTTTGATTTTATGCTATCTACCAATAAGTAACTCGAGGCTTTTATTGTCCCAAAGGAGGCGGTTTGAAAATCAGTTTGGTGGCTTCTGGATATGTCAAGATATTTGAATTAGTAAATCCAAGTTGTGACTGGTAACAGGATTAATGATGTATATTACCCTCGAATCGCATGTAACCGTTTTCTAAGTCTCATAACCAAAATACGCTTTTACTCCTTGTCGTAGGTTATATTATGGAAATGATAATACTATTCTTACTGTTTTCTCTTCTCCACCTCATCGTCTAAAGTCTCTTAGTTTCCTTTCCTATGCTATTGTATGCTTTCTCGAAGATTAATGACACAAAACTGCCGTGCCCTTGTGCAGAGTTCTACAACGATTTGTCAATGCAAGGAATACTTATGTGTCAAAACGAAATAATTTCTTTAGTGGTGACACACATTCAATTCCAAGTGTTTGCGAAGAATTTTCTCAGAAGTTCGTATAAGTAGGGCGACTAAAGTATTTATTTTGGTGAGATGAATTGCGCAGCTCTTACGTAGTCTTTAGATATAAAGACTTCCTTGTCATATTTATTGTGGTCTGGTTTTATCACATGTATGTCATGCACAGTTGTAGAGGAAACATTCTCTGACAACTAGTCTGTATATGATATTTTCTACACAGCAACTGTAATTTCCGGTTTCAGAATTTCATTGGAAACTTATCATGACGTTCAAGACGGCATATTCACATTTATTTTCACAAGGTGTGAATACAGTTTGACGTGGTGGATTTGAATTCCTCTAACCTGTCAATGAATCTATTCCCCACAGTATTTTTACGAGAAAGTGTGAAGCAATTCTGTGATTCGTTCAGCCTTTCTTGTTTCCCCCAACTTGAGGTACACCGTCACACATAAAGTCGTGATGATTAGACTGTGACAAATCCAAACAAATGTCATTCATGACACTTAAAACAGTGAAATGTTATGACAGTGAAAGTGCTGAATGTTTCTTCAAATAAATTCAGATGTGTAGAATACTTCCATATGTAGACTTCACATAATCCACGCTTTGATATGTCCATTTTCTGCTTACAGTCGTTTCTATGTAGTGTGTTGCTTTTGTTCTAGGTGCTGGACATTTGTCAACTGACTGTAAAGCGCTACTGGGTGATCAGGCGTATCTCGATCAGCCGAATGCTAATCCATCTGAAAGGGCTAAAATGGACAGTGAATATACTGCATTGATGGCGGAACTTGGCGTGGGACCAGGTTCTCAAGGATTACCTCCAGGTATGATTGTTAATAATTATATTGGAATATGATATCGAAGAGATGGTTGTATTGTTAAGCAAAGCGATTGATTTCTAATGTTTGTGTGTAAATTCGATGAATAATTAGTAACCGTATCCCTGCAAGTAGTGTATATGTACGTACCACTTCGTGGATAAGGCTAACGTCCACCATGTTCGTTGATTCAAGATTCGACGAACTCGCAAACTTATTTACATCGACGTCTAGCTTCAGCTGTTGCTTTTGGTCTTATTTGATCGCTCTGTTATACTGCATAAATAACATTGCAGAAATCTATTAACTGGCATTATTGGTTCACCCTTATTTTGTTACATCAGCAGTATCTGATCAGTGTATATGTGAGGATTTAAGTGAGTGCTAATGCTTGGGTGTTTGTATTATATTTCCTCTGCAATATGGAATACTGTCAATTCTCATCAAACTTCCCAGTGATAGAGTATTACATCGCATATATGTTTCCCGTTCATGGCTTACCTTCTCAGTCAGTTTAGTTGCCTCTGTTCTCCGAAATGAGTGGTGTGGGACTTCCTAATTAAGCATCATTTTTGAGTGGTCATCGGAGTAAAAGTGTGCTGTGAAAAGTCAGGTGATGTGACTGGCGCATGAAAGATTGATTACAAGTACAGTCAACGTTTGGCAATCCACAAGACAAACAAGATTAAATTTCTGCGGAAACACTAAATTTGTAGTTCGCTACTCTCAGCCGTTGTACAACACATTGTTGCATGCAAAATTTCTATCTGTCGTAATAGTTCAGAATATTTTGTAAGTTTTCTCGACCCAAATCTCACTTGTGATGTTCTTCATATGTCGCGTGATACTTCACTTCACTTTCCTCCCGTTACAGGTCTCAGGGGATTCGGAACTTTACAAACCCAACCAGCTCGTCCAGCTCGTCAACCTCCTCCTCCTGGTGTAGCACCTGACGATGACGACGATGGAGACACTGGGACCAATGGGACGACTGCCATAATATCATCCTCAGCTGCCTCAGTCACAGTTTCCTCTCCGAGTCAATATGCATTCACCCTACCACCACCTCCACCTCCTCCAGCTAATTATGCACCAGTGATAGCTCCTGTTCTTCCTTGGTCCGCTCCTGGTATCGTTGCACCACCACTCCCTGGATTTCCCTCTACTACTACATACCCTACAGGTGTCTCCTCAGCTACGGGATCATATGCCGAGGCAACAGTCGCTACTAATGGATCCTCAATGCATTCATGGCAACCTACAGCGTCATGGGGGGAGGCCGCACCGCATGTATCTCCAGTTGCACCCGTTCCTGGTAGGTATTTCTCAAGCAGTATTTATCAATAATTGAAGTTCTCAACTGTAAGTATTAATCGATGGCTCTATTGATTTGGGAATCAATCTGTCGTCTTGAATTAATTCCCTAACATCTACCACACCCTAATTCGTTCATTATTAATTTCCACGCATTTGACTATGCAGAAGTTTTCCATCCATTCCCAAATGCACATGTGCATACGGATTTTGTGTATACAGATGTATGTTTTGCTTTTTGAGTATGTTTAAAGTGTTCTCAAAATTGTATTCATCTTCTTTTTCAGGTTCAGCACTGGCTGCTCCATATTACCTGCAAACACCTGATTACTGGGTGGCATATGCAACCGGCTACGGAGCTCCGATACCAAATCAGCCACCACCACCACCACCGCCGCCGCCTGCAGTCTAGGTCATAATGATTATTCTGCCAGCCGTCATCATATGACTTTGTACAGAATTCGAAGCATGGAAGGTCTTTGAAATGCACTATTAATTTTCATTGAGGACGATGAAACATTGTTTGTCATCGTTAGTTAATTTTTGTTCTAATACATTTACTCTACTGCTTTTGGGCTTTTTATATTGCTTGGGCATAGCATAATGTCGATATAAGCTGTTACCTGAACGCAAGTCGGGAAGTATCACAGCGCTAACAATTCAGGTTGCACTACTCCACATCGCGACATTAGTCTGTAAGATTAAATAGGAACAATTGGGTTCATCAGGTGAATAGAGAAATGGTAACATAAGCGGTGGTTGCACGATGACGACTTGCACACTCGCACCACCTGACTCAAAATTAGATTTATTTACTTACATAAAACGCCTAATAATTCTTACATGTTGACACAAAGAGATGGGTCACACAAAAATAAGGAAGAGGAAATATGAGAAGGGAGAAAGTCGAGTAATTGGGGGAATGGATCATGAAAACACGTAGGCATACTCCTCTTTAGTACATCCATGGAATCAGTCGTTACTTCCTATTACTTTCTAGAGTAGGAGAAATTAGAGTACGTTGATTTCGATTCCGGGCCATGCGTGATAACTTCTGGACTCAGTGATTCTGACGATTTCGTGTGTCCGAATTTGGGAGTATTAATGTGATGAGAGATAATCTCGACCACGGTGAACGAATGTATTTTATATCTGAATCAATTCACAGTTTGCACGCGATTCTATGGAAATGAGGATGGTGGGACTCTAGATTTGTTTGCACATCTCAAGGTGAAGACGTGCAGTGGTTGAGTTAGACCGGAAGCTTAGAAGCGTTGACGTCCAGACTAAACTCGTAACTTTAGCAGAAATATTTCGAAGTGGAAGCTTTATGCATTAGAAATCCGCTAGTCTTCACGCCTAGCGAGATACGCGAACTCACCTACTACTTCAGACGATATCACTGCGGTGTTGAATTCAGGTGTGAACTACCTCTCATCTTGCAACTCTATTTTGCACTGACGGTAGTGATCAACTAATTGTTGTTGCTGTAATTTTTAAACTTACCATAGGAAACACATTATCTTACAGTGATACTATTTTGTTGATTTATTAATGTTTCTAACATAATGTGTTGCTCATAATCATATCTTGCTGAAAAATCAAACCTACCCACACATTTTTCCTCTCTGCATTCACCAACTCTTCACAAGTAACTTCACCCAACAGTCGACGTCCAGAATCTCCGTATAGTCCAATTAAGCAGAGATATGGCTCCAGAGAAATATTCGACGGATCGCATTCATTAGACTCGTCATGATATAATTCTAGTTGTACACGATAGTTTGTAAGACACAGTTTTATTTCACTTGCGGATTGTTGCTTCTCTGTTAATGAGATGTTGTTGGTGGTATTACTGAAACCTGTAACTTGTTCTCGAGATAGACAACTGAAGTTAGCACTCTTTCCGAATGGTCGGCCAGAAAAGTCAAATGACAACTGCTGAGATGTCTTAACATTCTCTATGATGACCTTTTTTAATAAAAGCAGATGAGAAATAAGGGAAGAAGAAGAAATTCAACTAATTAGCATATTTCAATTCGACAAGGTTGTTAATAGTTCTATATGATGAATATTTGTAAACAATTTTAATGAGACTGACTGATTTCTTAGGATTTCAAATAGATTGATACACTACTGATGCAAAGAAACAAACCTCATCGAAGAGTTTTACGACCTGTATACCATTTACCAAAAATGCACTATCGAATGAAACAAGTCCACAAAGCGAAAGTCCACGCGTAGACAGAAAAAATAACGTCAGTCGATCAGTTGACCTCCACCTTCGAGACCAAAACCCATCCAAGATGTGTCCTATTTCTCGATAGCACACAACCGATCATTTCGAATTCAAAAATCAACTTTTCTGACAAATACACAGAATATTTGTGAAGTCACTATGTATATATATATATATATGTTAGTAAGCACATTCACAATTTTTTCTGGAACAGATACTGTTTAGTTAGATCACCAGCTAGACAAACATCTAAATCACTGTGCACTGTGCAATAAACGAAGCAAGAAATTTTGCCTGTCGTAAACTTGAGACCTACATTAGTCGACAAGCATTTCAATAACCTGCAAATAAGCTAAAACCCTAACTACCCAAAAAAAGGAAAAAATCAAAAGGAAAATAAAACATCCTGTAAGAAAAGGGTCGAATAGTTAATCAGAAATCAATTATGCTGTGTTCTCGACAACTTCAGATGGATTGTTGAATTTATACCTATTCGACTACGGAAGTAAAACGGTTTATTTAAAGGGCTTCTTTCAAATATTCGGAGAACATATTTTAGATAGTTTCATTTGATGATACAAATGCTTATGATTACTTCAGTAGACGTCTATAATAAAACAGTGTTTGAATAGAAGTACAAAAGGGAAAATAAATATCTGTTAGACTCTTAACTCTTCCTTCTGCTACTAAACTATTTAGCTAGCATTCATGTACACAAGATAAAGACCATGTTAACTTCAACTTTGTTATTGACTGAATATCCACTTAAACCAAAAAAATACCTAGTCAAAATTGTATCAGTTTCATTTATTTAATTTTCCTAAATATCTTCGTAGATAGTAGAAGTGTGGTGGTATGATACAGACAGTGTGTCCCGACTGAATATTATTCTCACAAATTCCCTCAGTTCAATACAGCATTAGCAACAGAATACGATATATCTATTTATTTGAACATTCTGTTTGTTTCTAGAGTCGGAACATTATTCCCGAAGTTCAGTATTGCGTTGGCAACAGAATACTATGTATATTTGAACATTCTATTTCATGTCGTTTAATGTAAACCAAAATCACACGCTAAATGATTGGTTAGGGAATATAAAACTGTACATCAATAAATAGCCGTTTGATCACTTGAAAATATACCTTGGCTTCCGTGTCTTGCCTTCTTTTGTTACAGGAGTAGCAGTAGTATGAAGGAATTTTACACTAATTCCCCTCTTTTTTAACAATGAGAGTTTGTGTCTTTACACCTAAAAATTGGCCTAGATTTGAGACGTATAGTTTATTTTACTACTTTATTGTTGAGACTTTCTCAATCGTTATTTCTAGAATTGGATTCTACCCCCAACGTTTATGTCATTCTAGTAATTATTTTGAAATTTAAACTGTTCAACACTAACTCACACCCATGAAGTAAGATGAAGTGAATAATTTAATCTCAAATTTAATGAGAGTCTGAGAGACACTAAGGTGGAATATTTGAGCTTACTGAAAAACATAACCCCTCAGAAATCGGTACAGTCAAGCTGATAACTACTCAACATGACAAAGCGTACCTGCTGAAATTTCTTTTCTGGACATCAGGTTAATTCATTCTCCTCTGTGTATCTTGTGCGTAAGCACTTATAAACGTCGTTAAGTTCAATGACAGAAATTTAGTTTACAAAGCTTTTGAACATGTGTCATTTTGACCTCATTTGGACTGTTCCTAAGGTTGACTTTTGAAGAATGACACTCATATTGAAGTCTTAAATAGCTAAAATATTCAACATTTCTCAGTATCAAACTCATAAATGTAGAAATTCATTGTAACGATGCTAATTTTACCAAGAATATCAAAAACATTTCACCCTCATTTAACTTATCATGTTAGGATTTGTCATCTGTCTCAAATATTTTACCGCCATAGACGAATACTTACATCACTTTTATACCTCACTCTGTGTCCCTCTTTCTTAACACCTTCGTTCTGTATGAACACATATTGATGAGTATAAGGAAACAGTCAGTTTCAACAAATGGAAAATATCTCCCCATCATTCACAGGATAAACTACAATAAGTATTTGTAATACTGATCTTTTTTGCTTTGCTGAAATTCAACAATTACCTGTTGTATTAACTAGGAGACCTCCAGTCCTAATCTCATCACGACTAAGTATCTGTCTCCTTTTTAATTCAATTCACATGCTAACTGCAGTCATTTGTCGCGATCCTAGTACCAAAAAGTGTTTCTATTGATTACTGATATCCGAATTGATCAGATATGGTTTAAATCAACCTTTGTGTGACATTCTCAATGATAAATGCTGGTTTTGAATTGATTTCCCGCAATATGTACCTGTAAAACAAATGTTTCTAGTCGAAATAATGTACATTAGAAAAAAACACTGATGGTATTCCTACTGGGAATCAGTGATTCAGGGGATAGCTCTGAGGTGTTGGAGATAACAGGTACCAAACACAAGTCTCATAGGAAATCCCTATGATCACTGCGATACAAGCACATCCAACTGAGGAGTTACTAAGTGGAATGCGCATACTGATTCCCCCTAATAGTCACTACTACCATCAACTAAGTAATACCAACTTAGAAATCATACTAATATCGAGGTGCCCGTTCAAGTAAATGAAATACCCAAATGACACCGTTCCATCCAGTCGAGCAATATCATGGCAAAATAATAAGTACTCATGTAAAGCCGTTTCTACTTTCCGTTGCCATTTCCAGATTTCCTTGTCCTCTCGTTCGATGCTTTGCTTTTCATTAGAGGTAAGCGAAATCTATGTGCTTGTTGACTTCGTAACTGATGTCCATCAGTTTCTAAGATTGTTTTGGCTGAGTGAAGTTCCACCACTAAATTCGCATACGCCTTTTTTTCTACGACTTCTTAACATAAACAGAGATTCTTTAGCCCAGAAGATAATGTCACGAATTGAGGGACTCTTTACCTTACTGGTAAAACCATATTCCGTTACTAGATATTTAGCTTAGTCTCTCAAGTATACCTACTATTCATGGAATACCTTATAGAATTTTAACTTTTACTGTTAAAACAACTTCACCCTTCTTCAAGCACATTTCTACATAAATGTTGTTCTACGACAACATAATTCTCATGATAATTGAAGCAACAACAAACAGTGTTCAGATACTGCATAACCCCTTAAACTACTCTTCGTGAAAACCACTTTCTTCCTTATCAGTATCTCCTAAACAGTAAAACTGAATTGTTGGTATGATGAAAAGATTAATTAATACAACTATCAGCCAAAGGTTGCAACACTTTTTTCGTGAGACTCACTTAGAGAAAAGTGTAAGGCCAGTTGTTAATTTCTCTCCTTATTTAAAGAAGTCTTCACAACGTGTGCAAAATGCAGTAGTTACATTCATTGGAAACTCACCTTATCTACCTCCCATTTTGTATCGATATCTGGATTAATTGGATTCACTTCTAAACGTATTTTGTAAATTGAGCCAATGTTTTCCAGAATAATCTATTCAAACATAACAAAAGATATTATTTGGTAACTGCATAATATAACTTCTATGGTCAGATATTTAACATTTACTGACATAATATTAAAACTAAAGCTTAAATACAGAGCGTTTTGTCATTTGTTCTTAACTCAAATAACACGGAATAAGGTGCTCTCCTCCATGTAAGCAACTAAATTTTAGTACTTGTTCAACAGATGTCACTGACCAACAGTTTAAGAGATAGGCGAGTCAGAGCTACAAGTGCGCAATAGAAGCATGTGGGATTGTGGTAAATATTCTGATTTCTGAAAGGGTATGTTTTTCGTCTATGGCACACGTATGATATTCTAATAAATGTCATCTGACATTACTACACTGAACCACAAACACTGACAATCAGGCCAAATAACATAGGGCTTGACAAAAGTAAAGAATTATTGTACAATTCGGTTTCAGTGGTTTGGTAACCGACAGATATTACACTTTTTATATTAGTCAATTCCAGCATTTGCGAAAAAATCCTAACAACAACTCTCACAACTTAAAGAAAACTCATGCGAACTGATAATTTCCTGTCCGGGTTATAAGCAAAGGGACTTAGTGAGTATAACTCATGGTAAGTGCTTTACATCTGTTTGCCAGTTGCAAACATATTTAATTTAATGTAGCCAAATGATTACGGTGTTTGACAGTATCTTAATCGGTGGGTAACAGATACATTTCATTCTATTACATGGGTTTCAGTCCGCAATTAACTAATTATTTACAAGTAAACGCGCTATTGTCTGCTTTTTATATTTAACACAATAGAGGTAACATATGAGGTAAAGAGGTTTTGGTGAAGTATGGGGAAGAAACGGATAGTATCTATCGTTCAATTAACAGTTTCGTCTACTATTTAATAAAGATGGAAAATAAACATTCTGCCAAGGAAATTACCACACAATATAAGGTGACTAGACAGGATCTCTTGAACCCCATTGCAAATGCTCAGGTAAGATAATAACTCTTTACAATTGTTCTTCGTTCATTGACTAGTCCTAATTAATTAATAAATTGATTGTCTTATCTTCCCTCATTCAGCATTTCTTAGGAGATCTGTAGTTCTTTTAAAGTATACATCGTTAAGCTAAAATTCAATAGTCAGATTAAAAAAAATTCAATCATTAGATAGTTGATTCTCTCACTATAATTGGAGTGCACATTACTTTCTATTCAAACAATGTTGGAAATAATCATTCATCTGTGAAGTGACCTTCAGTTTGTTGATTCGAGAGTAGCACAGTAGATTAATATTTGTAATGGAACATCACCAAGCTTACAATACACCACTACAGTACGTAATATTTAACATTTAGCTTACCATGAAATTGTCAATCCTATTTGTTTGAAATAATCCTTTGTTATCATCTGATCTACCAATTAGTATAGAACCAGAGCTTCCACCTGTCCCGTAAACAACCAAAACAATTCTACAGTTCTCAGCCGATTTCTCCGTGAATATAGATAATTTCCAGCTAGAGTCTAGGAACAAAAAAAAAAGATTTTCTTGAAACAATAATTCTCTGGAATGAATCGACTTTTAGAAAATGTGAATACTGAATCACTACTGTCTGCTTCCAGCATGCTCGTCTTCCAATAAAAAAAAATACTCATAACAAGGTACAAGTTCACATTAGGCGTCATTCTCCAGTGTTTCATATGTTTCAGTAGATGAGATGCAATTCAAGGCAGAATCCAAACCAGGTACTGCATTAAAACTTTCCAGCCTGTAGTGACTCGAACTCTGATTACTGAATGTCTGACTATTTCTCTACCAATTAGTCTGGGAGAACCAAATATCTACTAGGATTTCATTTCACTTTAGTCACCCAGTAATCCACTCACTTGTTCTGTAAATGAAACGTATGCAGCTAAGCCCAAACTTCACAAGACTTCTGCTTCGACAAACTCGAAGCCACGAATACGATGTTGCATTCAAAGGAGTTACGAGTAATATTTCATCAGACATTTCGTATTTAATATGCTGACAGATATTCCTCCCTATTATCCGAACTAAGCTTGGATTTAATTATTTACAAGATTTACAGGATCTGGTTAGTTAAAGTTCTTTATTTCGGGGAGATTATGTTCAAATAATTGCAAAATGAATCAAGCCAGTAGACGGTTTTATAAAAACTACAATATCAGTTCAGTTGAATTATAACTGAATTAATCTTCTTCTTTGTGAACAACTCCGTATTTGTCGAGCACACCGAAGGAAACTATGTAGAGAAGGTACTAAGTGCTGCAAAGCAGGCAGCACATTTTGTACACAGTAAATCAACCATCAGTATATTGAATTTCTTTGAAAATACCGAGTGGTATAATTCAGAATCATGGCAGCTGTGTTAAGACATAAGTATTCTGACAATCACAATCAAGGTAGAAATCGTACTTCCAAAATGTTATTTATATGGAATTCACTGATGCTCACGGTGTTAATAAAGTAAATTAACAGGTCGCCAATTTAAACTCTTTAAAATAAGACGATGATACTGCACAAAGATCCTGTCAATGAGAATTTAAGGCATCAAGCCTTAAGGTGAAATAATTATTATTATTATTATAGCCCTATTCTAAACAGTACATTTGGTACAGTGTGGAATTATGAACCTGTGGTACTATAGTGTGTCTAATTTCCTCTTTACACTACATAGTCAACAGCAAAATAATGAACAGGACATCTACATCAATTTATAGTAATAATAATAATACTGTTCCTTCCCTGGTCACTCGATCAAGACAGACTTAGAAATAAAAACTGAGGATTTTATTACCAATTTTCCCATCAGTGAGTCATGAATAGGCTATACAAATGTTTCATCAGTTTGAGAAACAATCAGTGTTTTTTTAAGAACATTATAGAATGAAACTGTCTGCATAAAAAGTGGTTGGAAATACCTTTATTCAAGTTGTATGCAGCAAGTCACAGTAATGAAAGTAAGCCGCAGATGGATATCATATTCAGCATTATTTTGCACACAACAATGCTGAATTAATTAAGAATCTGTGCACAGACGTAGTTTTTGAATACAGTTTTAGTGCATAAATTGTGACGACCAGATTGACATAAACCTTCAGTTCTGTCATTAAGGCACTACTGATTTGGCAGTTATTCGAGCTCCCTTTTTCCTGTTTCACTAGTGACTGGACAATTTCTTCCCTACATGTCTCTGGTGGCCCAGGTAAACTCACTGTGTCTGAATCTTAGATACTGTCACAACTTTAAACTTACAAATGTCAATCAGAGAAACAAATTTGTTTAGAAATTTGATTCATCTAGTCCGACAACTATAATTTTATTTATAAGGTGAATTAATTTACACAAAGGGCATGAGATAAGGAAGAATCAAACTACCTCTCATGTCCTTCTGTTCATTCTGGTTATCTGAAGTCTGTGACTGACTCATTTCAATATCATTTGGCTCTGCATCATCTCCCACTGTGCTTCGAACTGAATCGTTATCCTTCGCAGCTGTTTCACACTGAGACTGAGCCAATTCTACTAACCCCTCCCTTGAGTCGTCTTGAATTTGTTCCACCTTTTCAGCATTGAAATTTCCATTATTTGCAGAGTTGACATGCGGACTTAAATCAATATTTTTATTTGCTTCAGCTGCACTAGATAATTGATGTTGACAACTAGGAGAACCATCTAGATATTTTATGTTCACAGAAAGGATGAAAATTTTGAAAGCGATGCTGTGTTTGTACAAAAAGTAATGCAGAGGAAAATGAAATCTGTAAAAAGTGCATGTACGGTATATTGTAAGATGATACTATTCACCTTGTAATATCCCAAAAATAACGTGTACTAACGTGACAGTGTCAGTAGAATTTGAAATTCAGCAGTGTTTATACGCTCAATTATTTATGTTTGCTTATCACACATATATCTAAGACATTCATCTCTATACTCTACGTAAATATGAGATTTAGTCTGGCTTCTGATTTTGACACTGGCAGAAATACATGGCTTCTGGTTGAAACTTATTTTGTGTGGACACTGGACACTCTTCAACACACTTCAGATCTGCTTACATTCTCCCCTGTTCAAACAAAACTATGCACTTCGACCTATTTGCAGAGATTAGAACCAAACAAACACACTGAAAGTGAGGTCGAAGCTGGTGCAGGGTGAGCATTTCCAAGGTTCATAGAAGGCATTGCTGATGATAGCTGTATATCCCGAGTTGACAAAGTTAGAATTCACGAATCATTGAATTACGTTCGAAGAGGCTGAATGGTCAACGAGATTGGTCTCGTAACCTGAAGGTCCGGGGTTCGATCTCTGGTTGTGTCGTGGGTACGCATGGATAAAGAATCGAGAACTAGGAAGAAACAACTGCACAGTGCTACCCGATTCTCAATGATCCTGTTTTGTCTATGAAGCATCATTTAACCTGCACAAAATTACATTCGATAAACCTGGTAAACTGTTCATTTCTCATACAGTTCAGAGTTAAATTATACTTTAATGTTTCTAGTGTGTAGTACTGATGAGTAAAATTTAACATTTTATTTTTATCCAACAATTCATCTGAACTCTAGTTCTTAAGTTAATATGACTTTTCAACCAAAGTAGATGAGTCATAATTTTTGAGCTTAAATCAACTTTCCGGGCTAATGGCAAAACGATCTGATGTCATTTACTCAAATACGTGAGAAAATGTTTGTCCAAGTCTAGTTCACTCATATCTCATTTTCTGATTGACATATACAAACAATTCTATGTACATTTTTATGTGTGTATGTATGTATGTATATATACATATATGACTCTGATTTTTATTTTAAATACCATACTATTTAAACACCTGTGTTCAATTCTAAACTCAAGCAATGTGGATGTAGTTAGAATTCTGGGCTTGAAATGAACAGAAACCTCCATTCTAATGAACCTAATATTAACTGTTATTTAATTGAATTTTAGGTTTTCCCGTCATCACTCACTGGAGAATGCAGGTATATCCAGCTGACAAGTCCCAAATAGGACGAAATGCACATCCTGGACTCCACCGCTAGTCACCATCCAACAATAATACTAACTGTTTAGTCACTTCAGAAGTAAAAAGAACTAACCTCATAAATAGACAAGTTATTAGAAAAATCCATATAACCTAATGGCTTAATATAAAATTCAAGTAACCTGCAAACGGTATACGGTGATTGTTTCACAGATCAAATATGGTTTAGACTAACAGTAAAGTTATATTATCGTTTCAGTCAACTGTGACAGACTTATGAAATTACGGGACAAAATATCATCTATGGGAAAACCAGACTAGATGGTTTGAAGAAAGCTGACTTGACATTGGGAATCAGCCAACAGCACTTAACTGCATTTAATTATTACTTCAAAATGATTACAGGATTTCATCATGAGCTGACATCAGTTAGAGAACCATTGGAAAGCCTGCATGAAGTACTGGACAGCTGTTTCGTCCAGGTTTGGGACTCTTAATCAGCACGTACCCACCCTGGTTTGAACCCAGGACCTTCTAGTTACAAGGCGGGCTCGTAGACCGATAACCTGATCCAATGGCCAGTCCATCAATTCCAACTCCTGCCAATTCATAACATAGTGTGACCACCCAGTGGCTTATTGGTCCACGAGCTCGCCTTGCAACTATAAGGTCCTGGGTTCAAACCCCGGTGGGTGGGTGCGTGTTGATGAAGAGTCCCAGACCTGGACGAAACAGCTGTCCAGTACTCACAGCTGGTTTTCCAGTGGTTCTCTAACTGATGTTAGCTCATGATGAAATCCTCCAACCAATCAAACAAAATCCCTACAAAACCAATACTTGAAAACTACAAAATGAATGGATTTTCCAACAACTGTGATCTTCTCAAAATGTATATCAGAACTCCAATACCTTCGAACTGTTGGGATTAGTTACTAAGTAATCTATGCAGTTATCCTGTTTCAGGGCGAATTTCGAATATCATAGCCAAAATCCCAGTGACTTTGAACAACCAATGAGTATTTAGATGCAAAAATGTCTCAGAATCCTTTGAAAATGCTTTTAAAAAACATCACAAACACAACCATACACCGGATAATTGTATCTTATGTCATGTGAGAATGTCTCCCAGTTACTCCAAGGATAATATATAGAGAAATCATAATATGTGCGATAGATGTATTCATCTAAGTGACTGTAGATCATGGTACTTCGTGATCCACTGATATTCCTGACCCTGTCAATTGACCTACCCCAAATCTTAACCTTAGCCCTAACGCTAAGCATAAACCTCAACAGAAAGGTATACTTCACACATTCATTCCCTTTCATGAACTTGAATAAAGCAAGAATAGCAGTTTGTGCAGAATAATATGGTACCATTATTTATTTCGTTGACTTCTCATTAGCTGCTCACAGCCTAAATAAACTTTTCTTTACATGAACTTAATAATTTGCTCTTCTTGCTTTATTCAGAAAAAAAGTACTGTGGAAATAAGTGGAATATTACACATACCCTCACCAACGGAATTTCTCTTATACCATGATTTGATTTGGAATGACCTTTCGTAGCGTCCCCTAACTTCGACTGCTTCTTGAAGGTGATATCTTGACAGGCCTCGACTTTGGCCATCATACTTTAACTTCACCTGTTTTAATAATCCAAAAGACTATGTGTTTCACCATCCCTACTTACAACCTCAGACATTCGTCAGTCAGCCTATTAATTCTCTACTCTTTTGTATTACTTTGAACTGTATTCACCGAAGTAAAGTACTTCACCGACGACACCCATTCTTGTAAATTTCATGCTTATTTCTAGAAATATATTTGTTTCTAAATATGTTAAATTTCTTTGATGCTTCGAGTTTTCATATCTCTGTATAAAGTAATTTCTGGAAATCTGTTTCACTTAGCGGCCTTCAATTGCCCTTTCAGCTGTGTACCGTCAACTACTCGAGACGATTTCATAAGAATTATTTATTGTTGGTGCACTTAATCTGTTTCACTTGTTAACTGACACAGTTGCCATGGCTAAGGTAAGCAAAATAAAAGTTGAAAATGATTTTACTGTAAAGTGTGACTCTCTGATCATTTGTTGCAACTCCGAAGAAATCAGTGTGTAAGGTAAGCTTTATCGTGAGAAAACAGTGTGCGTCTTTTTCATCTGAAACAAAAAAAGGAATACTCTGAACGCCTTCAACAGTCTTTATTGATAAACAAAGCTGTGTGGTATAGTGAAAGATAATTTCTTGAGTATGAAATATGCCCATGTGATATAAATTAAAGAATAATCCTTGTCTACTTATATCTCTTTAATTCTTCTAGGTTGATTAGTAAGTAAATAAAAAAACTGTTCAATACCTTAGGTGCTAACTAAATATCGTTCACGTCAACTAGGAAAATATGACCTTTCCTGTCTGTATGTTTGTGATGAAGAAGGACAATGAAGGACAACCATAAAAGTAGTGCTTTTATTTTAAATGAATGCTTACACTGGACAAGTTTTTATAAAGCTGACGGTATTCACTTTCATCCAACAGACTTTATTTAACCCATTGTGAATAACAAACATATTGTATGTGGATTGTGAACAAGATGGTCATATATCTTCCTCCTTTCACCTGCTCTGCATTAAACCATACTAGAATGTATACTTAATTTGATCCACTCTAACAATCTTTAACTTTTTGTCAACTATCAGGTGTAAGCTGACACCTTGCATTCTTTTCTAATGGTGATCTCATTAAAAGGAAAATACGTTAGACTTATCCAGCTATCCAGTTAGCTGTATATCATGAATAAACGTTATGTTGTTAAGTTAAGGAGAATAGCATATACCTACATTTAATTACTTCAGGATAAAATCGACAGTTTTCTTCCATTGTATGCTTTTCGTATAAGGTTACAGTTCCATCTTCATTCATTCCAATAATTTTATTGTTATCCACAAGTGGTGACAACTGAATAAAGCCTTTACAACGAACACGATTTATTTTGAAGTAACAGTCCATGCCACCACCACCCTGTAAATTAAATCACATAGAAATCTTGTGCTATATAAACGCAATACAATTTTTAACATTTTAACAGATTCAAAACTTAACGCGCTACTATTGGCAGCAAGATTTCATCAATACACAAAGTAGTATAACTCCACAATATCATTAAACTTACACTAATACCTATTTCTACAATAAATTGTAGTGAAAAAGAGTTTATAGTAATATACTCCGTCAGTGACATAGCGGTTATGACGCTCGCCGACCATGCACGTGGTCCGGGGTTCGATTCCCGGCCGACGCACTCCTTTACCTCGCTAAGCCACAAATAATGCTGGTGAAGAGGAAAGGTTGGGCATGAGGCTAGTAACCTCATCCTGTTAAATAAACACTGCTACAGAAACTTCAAGCCTCTAGCTTGAAGCCCTATGTTCCACTGGGGAACGTGAAGGAAAAAAAAGTAATATACTGCTACGTCTAAGTAACTGTTCCAATGAAGGCTCATTCTAGTCGTCTGCAAAAGTGTCAGTTTTTATCTCATGGAAGCATATGAGGTAAATGTTTGCGTTTCGATATGGAGAGGAAGCGAATTGATTTGTCTGTGTCGCACTAACATGTATGTTCCACAAACAATGCAGTCTGATGATATGACCTGTCTGCCCACACCTAGGAAGATGAGACAGGACTCGAAACTTTGACTCAGTAATCAACAGTCAGGCGACTAGAGTAGTCAATTACTACCACGTCTTGTTGATAAGAATGATGTTCACCCTTCATTAAATGAAAACATCAGTTCTTATTGGCATGAAATCTTCCAAAACTCAGCCTTTAAATTCCAAAATTTTAAGACCGTCTGAATTATAAGTGGACAGATAAGATTTTGCTATGTCGTCTATCACCTAACTGTCACCTATTTACTGTTTGTCTACACCTAGAAAATATAACTGAAGTTTAACTTCCCCTATTCGATGTGTTATGTGAGAGGTGAACGCGATTGTTCATAAAAAAAATATAACATTACAAATATTTTCACCAACTCAGGTCTACATGTTCAAATAGTAGAGACGTGGGCAGATAAATAAATAGATTTCAGGCAATATGAAAATAGTTTCCTATTGACTATGCCCTGCCTGTCATTACAGTTATGTTGAGCAGTACTCTCTTAATAAGTACCTGTAATCACTAATGATTAACATTTTGATAGTTTTCCACAAAGAATCAGCGGTGTCATTTTTAGCTATGCTTGCAAATCTGATAATCTTTCAAACAGAGGCATTACAGTTAGCGGTCACCTTCTAACACTGTCGTCATATTTGCATTTCATCGATAACACTTGGAATAAACCACCACAGTGTTCAACTTCACTATGAACCACATCGTCCTGAATGCAGTCATCAGAATTCAATAAACTCTCTTCCCCCATAATTAATTCCTCCGATATAATCTCTTGTGTAAACTTAATACTCAAGAGTAACTTCAAGAAATATCAGCAGTGTAATGATAGTTGTAGTAGATAGCTAGCTAATAGTGTACTACTAAAAGAGGCTAAAAATAATCTAGTCTAGATAAACTCAAAGTTAGATGCCACCGAAGCAAGTCTGTAAGACTGACAAACAAAGTGTTCTGTACACTTTGTAGACTTATGCTTATAGTAGTGTTGAAAAACAATAATTCATATGTGGATGTACTAAAGTAAGATTAATAAACGCTGCCAGCAACTCACCATAGCATCTACAACACCTGATGCAACGCGTAGAAAGTGTCCTGGCCAAGCAATAGACTCAAATCGTCTAACACTTTTGTCCACTCTATGTACCCTCCAGTAGGCTTCAGAAATTCTCTCTCCTGTTGCACGTAATTCAAATTTACAATTACTGATTTTGTCTTCTTCATCTTTCTGATTGGTCTCTCTAACCAGCTTAGGTATTAATGTTTGTTGAACTCCAGTACACATCCATAGTATTGTCTGATCCCTTAAACATCCCTATGTAGCAAAGATTATGGAGAAAAACAAAAATAGAATTAGGAAATATACAAACACGGTTCACACTTTCTTCCTCATGGATTTCCAGATAACTAAGGTGTAGTGACTCGATATCCACCCAAAGGAATCTGTAGTGAAATTTACCCCTCAACTGTGTTATTTTCATTTTAAACGAAGTCTGATCAAGATTTGATCGAATCGCTCCCCGATAATCAGACGCCGATTAAATAGACGTAAAAAATTACACTTTCAAAAGTCTAGGCGAAAATGAAATAAATAATCGCAAGCTTTTGTTAGGCCAATAGTACTGAACGTCTTTCCGTAAGTAACTAAATTCAAAACGGCATAGGTATATATATATATATGCCTTCGGGCATCATTTGTCCCCACAATTCTTGGTCATGTCACTGAAGAAGTTCGGACCGGTTCACAGAACGAAACGTTAGAATTATTCATTTCAGTTTCCCTGAGATATATAAAGATATGACTTTCACATATGTGTTGTTTGCAAATTGTGAATTTTATCCTACATTTTGGATACAGTGATTCTAGTGTATTTAAATGGTTTTGCTTCATGTCATTTAATGTCAGCAGTAGGATTATGCATTTTAAACACTGTTCGCAACAGCAGTTCAACTCCTCTCCTACTATGTATCAGCTTAATTGATTTGTTAGGCAGTTGGAGGCGGTGAGCAGGAAGCCTTGCACCTAGGTTCCTGTCTAGTGTCCAGTCAAAGTATCTATTACAGCTCTACAGAAGGTCGACCACGAGACCAAACAGCTCACTGATAACATTGTTAGATACAGCGCTGGGTGATCCGGTTTCCAATCTCAGAAGGGACATGAGTTTCTTCGTGGTTGCATATACGCCTTGCTGATGAGCGCCAACTTGCATGAAACCCAGGTCCAAGGATTACTGACGATTGCCTGTCACCATCCAACGGGTGCTACATAGTGCAGCGTATTCGTCAACCACCTAGCATGGCGGCCACATTGCAAACTTGACTGATGGAATTTATTCCGCACCAAAAGAAGTAATAGACAGACATATGACATTAGTTAATGACTAGTGTCCAATCAAAATAATTGATTTGTATAATTTGAATGTAGGTCATGTCATAGTTCTGCTGAAGTCTGTAATTCTTTCCAAAAGAAGAATGTCAGCTAAATGTGTTTTCATCAATATCACGACTTGAATGGACATTTCGAAACTTGCATTCTTCAATAGTGATCCTTGTGACTATACCAACACTAATCAAACATTTCAGAATGGCATCAGCAAGCTAGAATCTAGCTAAGAACTAAATTTTCCTAAAACCAGAATTGTCACATCAGCAAATGACACAAAGACTGAGAGAAGAGATGTGCACAACTGCGGAATTTTTAAATCAAAATTCTTCCTACTGGTTAGTTCCATGTGACTGGTGAACGACATTGGAACTGAGATCCAACGTCCCACGAATTTTACTGAAATCAGATTGGTAGTGATTAGACTTTGCAGGGTGAGTTTACTAATCACTTTTAGCCTGATAAACATTACAGGTACCACATAAACACGCAACCAAAAGTATATCGGTTGGGTGACACAGTTTATTTGAAACTATGACTGAAACTATTTTTGTTTTACTGATAGAATGAAATGTATTTCAGTCAAACCTGAGAATAACTGTTAAGTTATCATCATTAAGTCGTGAACCAGTGTGTATGAAAAACATTTCTTGATTGAAGACATTGAGTAGCTCTGTTTAAATCACCCAGGTCATACATCTGTATAGAAATAACAATTTACCAACTGAAGAGAGAGTATATATATACATATAAATGTAGTCTCCACAGTGTTATACAGTATCATAGACGAATTGGAACAATTCGCTCAAAAATTCTTTATACTTTCTTTCTTTATCTTTCATAACTGAACTCCGTATGAGTTTCAGTAGGTATTCTATGCACGGAATAGTCAAATTTCCCAGTCAGATTTGGAATTCCATCTGATCTGCTTAAGTGGTAACATCCGTTAGCACAACCATTTCGATGTTGTTGAAAACAATACTAATAACAGTGCAGTAACTTAAAATATGTGGAGCATAATCTGTTATCGTACAGTTTAAACATTCTAATACTAGTTGTCTTGAGTTTAACATAAAAATGATTAACAAAATGAAAAGGATTTTCACTAATTCTTCTGAAATAATCAAAGTTAATAAGAAAACAGCATTCACCTTTACATAAGGCATAAACAATTTCCCAGGTATTGTTAAAGGACCTGTTGCACCGCTGACAATACGGCCATCAGGTCCAACGTAAACATGAGTTCTTCTAGATCGAAGTGAACTGCATTTAACTGACTCAAGTGCGACAAGACGATCTGACAGTGGTCGAATTCTGAAGTCGAAACATTGCGACACCAAGTTCCTGGAGAACTGCGAATTGCTCGAGTTAACTAGGCAGAAATAGTATGAAGAAAAACTGTCAAAAATAAGGCAGTAAGAAGAGATTCGGTAGTTAACAAAATTTAAGGTATGAAATATTCCCTCATGTGATATAATCGACAACACAGAAGTCATCAAACAGAAAGCATTATTACTTCTGGTCACTGAAGAAGAAGGAGAAGAATGACGGAAAGGGGAAGAAGATCAACTGTATGTCGAAAATCCCCATCTTGTTAGTCTGTCGTCCTATTTATACTACTCGGAGATCAACTAAGTTTGAAAGAACTGAAAAAAATCACCTTACTCTAAAGATTTTTTCACAACATTATGTAAGTTTAATTGTAATGATAGTCCGGCTGTTGGTGAAAGGCGTACGCTAACAAAATACATCAAACTACAGTCTGATACTCATGCACTGTTATCTCATTTCTAATACCTATTCACTTAACATCGAGGTTTAACGAAGTTCATCTCTGCTCAAAGAAAATTGAGAATGACAACTTTCACTTTGTTCTTTTACAAAGACATCACTATTAAAAGCATTAAAGCAAATGGAAAGTGTGTTTCACTTACTTGTCATATGTAAACCCACGGTTTCATCTAAACACATTGTTAACCATGGATTTTTCACACTTGTAAAGGAACGAATATACTTGATATTTCTAGTGTCACTACTAGTACTGCTTTTGTGTTTGCTGTTGCCACCATTACAAGTCACAGTAACAGGCGGAAAACTCAAATAATCCACATCACGATTGAATGTACAACATCCCTGTTCATCTGAAGAATTTTTCGAACGGGACTGGGAATATGAATGTTGTTTAGATACCTTGGGATGTGGCGATCCACCAAATGATGCGTGACATACATTGAAAATTGCTGGCAGACAAACGAAAAATGAAAAATGAAGCTGATATTTTAAAAACGGATTTCGGGAAAGAAAATGCGCGAAAGTGTTGTTTTTAATTTTTCTGAAATTAATTTGATGTATTTGTTACATTTCTAAGCCTAAAAAAGAGGGATCATCCACATACACAATCAAAATGATCACGACACTGTTGATCATCACTGCATTTGTTAAAATTTAGTTATGCAGGCCTCTAATATAAGGTGTCTCTCTCTCTATGTAGGCTATGCACGACTCATGTAATGGGGAAAAAGTAAATTACGTCTAGTTATATATTTAGGGATGACAATCTCTTACACTCAAAAACGATAACATTATTAATAATAACAACAATGATAATCACTTTATTCCGAAGAATAACAATTATAAAGAAAGGAATTTTCAGCGTTAAGACGTCTGTGATTGATTCAAAGAAAACTACAGGAGCAAATCGATGCAAAATGTAAGTTGATGGTAAATGGTATTTTCGCTAGCCGGAAATTCAAGCAGGTCGCCATGGAGTTTGCTTGAGTTGCCATGATGATGTTTCCATTTCTACCGTTTTGTATAAACGACTACAACCATCACAAATTTGCTACTGGAATCATATCAAAACTTTTTCTCTCCTTAGTATTCGAACCACATTTATCTTATGTGGTTTGAAGTTTTAGTATTTGATTATCATTATTTGTTTACTTCTATTTTACAACTGGTTCATGCGACTGTATCAACTGGGGGAGATGTCGGACAGCTTCATACTAACTAGATCTTGTGAAAGTGAATTTTTCAACCAATAAATATAATCATACTTCTTAAATGAACTTAACTGAATGAAGCAGGTGGATAAGGAGAGTATAGTTTGTTTTGTTTTATCACAAATCGACATCATTCTAATGTCGAAAAGCTTAGAAATAAAGTCGTCAACTTAGCTGTCAAGTAAAAAGGAAATCAGATCAGTCACAGGTCGAAATTGAAGCAGATCTCAAGTTGACAATGAAGTGGACTCGAGGATACTATTTAAAAGGCAATTTGATGATTATAATGCCGACTTTTATTCTTCTAAACAACACGTTAATGCATATCCAACATGAATGACAATCTGATCAAAGGTTTCTCAGACTATATTATGAAATGTCATTGTTGTCGATGTATCTGTGGCAGTCTCATGAGTTTCCGATACACGCTTGATCGATGTATCAAGAGTGGAATATATGCATTGTATCTTTGTATGTATCTTTTCTGGATGTGCAACTAACAAGACGCGAACAAGATGGGACACTCAAAAGATCCATTCACAGAAAACCGACATGGAATGGACAACTCATCAGCTTTCACAGTTGGGTGCCTCTATATACAAAACGAAATCTAATCCGCTCACTGACTCACAGAATCCACAACATTTGCAGTCCGGAAACTATAGAAGAGGAGCTGAAGACCCTGAAAAGAATCCTCCTTGAAAACGGTTACCCGGAACGTTTCATCACAAAAGCCATGAAGCCCAAAACACAAAAACCGTCTATGCTTACTGCTCCCAAGAAACTTCTCTATTTGAATCTACAATTCAACGGAGATTCTTCAGCAGAAATACTGAGAAACCGCCTGTGCCGTTCACTGAAGAAAACCTTCTTCGCAGCTGAACTCAGACTAACTTTCTCTACGAAACCAATGATTCGCACGAACGTGAAGGATAAGCTTCCACTGGGGGCCTCATCAATGTGCATCTACCAATTCACCTGCTCATGTGGAGCTAGGTATGTCGGCCGTACCCAGCGTTTGCTATCCAAACGAATCAGCGAACACTTACCTTCATGGTTTTATAAAGGAGAAAGAAGATCCCCCCGCCACAGCTCTATCCTAGAACACTTGATCGAATCCGGACACCAAGCAAACCCACAAAACAACTTCTCAGTTATCTACACAATACGTGGGAATCTTGCCAAAAGAGTACGAATTAAACTTCTTCAAACTGCAGAAGCAATGGCAATTCACATATTGAATCCTGAACTCTGCATACAAAAGAAGCTTGTTCAGTCACTAAATCTACAATGGTCCTGATCTATCTCAACACCAAATACGTAATTTTGTCTTACCTCTTTCTTCTTTGTTTGTCTGTTTCTTAATTGCATTATTTTCTTCCCCCACCCTCTATTAAATCTCTACCCTCATGACGACTGTTGCTAACTCCATTTTCGTTTATTTTTAAGTGAATTCTACTCAGCTTATCAACTTAACTCTCATTTATTTTCAAGTGAATTCTACTCAGCTTATTAACCTAACTCTCATTCATTTTCAAGTGAATTCTACTCAGCTTATTAACCTAACTCTCATTCATTTTCAAGTGAATTCTACTCAGATTATTAACTTGACTCTGATTCATTTTTCATTGAACCCTATCAATTAGATTACGTCACCCAACCTACTTTTGTAACTTTATTTTAGTTTCTAACCGATTAACGCCTTCTAAATTACGTAATTTGTTGTCAAAAATTAACAATTGCATTAACACATCTTTGGAAATATTCCTTTTGTTGCCAAGAAAAATTACTATAAATTTGCGGTTTGTACAGCTTGAGAATGATATCACCGAAAAGAGTAACTCTTTGCTGAACGCCTTTTCTTTTCTATGACTGAATGGGAATTTTCAAATATGCATTGTGGTAACAAATATAAGTTGACCAACGGACCAAATACCTAATGCATAAAAATAGATTCGAGATATGCAAATCTCCCTATGGAAGTCAATAGGAATGATTTGTACTCATTGTCTTGATTTGTATACCATAGACGCCAAGTGACGTCACGTCCCTAAATCTTTTCAGTTCTAAAGACTAATTTTTTATAGGATTTGGTTTTCCAGTTAAGAAACTTATCGCACACTTATTCTGATTTCGTGGTGATTGGAAAAACCCACTCCCTATAGAAATGAAACCTGCACTTTTACCTGGAAGATTTCAGATCTTCTAATACACAACTATATATGAGTGGCTTAATTCAAAGGAAAAGTTATGTGATGGTTTACTGTGTTAACTCATAGTTTATGTCAACTCCAGAATGTCTTCCTGTCATTCTTGCATTTACTACTTACAACTTTATAAGTAGCTTAGCGATTTCCAACAAAAACCACAGTGTGTGACTGCGTATGACTGATTTGAGAAGCATTTTAAAACAAGTTGCAATCCATCGTAATTTCTAAACAAGTGCCCTCCAACTCTCTGTTTTGCTGAGAACTCCACTCAGAGTCCCCAAAACCACTTCTGTCACGTAACACTTAGCACTCAGTGGAGTTATTGAGTCAACTGATTTGCATTTCATTAAATCAATTCGGTTATAATTTATTTGAAACAAACTGGTGAATTTAAGAATGTACCTGTGTACCAACTGTTTAATTCACCAAAGGTGATGAAGAGTGGGAAACAATGTGCCACGTGTTCAAGGGTTATAGTATGAGGATCATTTGAAGAGGAGATGAATGCTCTTGGGCAGTCATGAAGACAGTTAGAAGTGATGACAGAGAACTATGTACTATAAAGCTTTATGTTCTGCTCGGAATTCAACCGATCAACCAATCAGTCAACACTAATTGGAATAAGGACAAACTAAAGAACCGCACACCGTCTCCTGTTTGAACCACGAATGTATACAGCATGTACTCAGATAAACTTCATTTCTAAAGACTGTATGTCGACATAAGTAACCAAATTCACTAAATCTAGCTGTGGTCTAGTATTTAGTGAAGCCTACTTTATTTGTATATTTGGTCTGTTCCATTATATCTTCCAGCAGCACCTATTCATTCCAATGAGTATGTCCTAAAATGATATTAGCGTCCTCACACAGAATAATATGAATCCACGAATGTCGTCAATGTGGTGATAACAACCAAGTTCTGTTGTTTAAGGATGTAGTCTCTGACAGTACAAAACCCAGAGACTTATTACATTTGAAGCCTGCTATGAAAAGACCAGGAGAAAACTACATATTTCAATTTGATTACCTTGTGTGCCCTTCTCTCCTGCTACTCCATGAATAAGTTGACTGTTAATTCTGTTCGAGTCGACTATTTGCAATGGCGCTCCAGTTAGGTAGCTGTAGAAAACAATTTTCGTATCTGGTTTGAACTTCCATTTTTGCACTTGCCACTTTACGAGTACACACCAAGTAATGCATACAGAATGAAAAAGAAAACAAATGCATGTTTGAAACACTGATCACTGACAAACACCGATTTCATTTCATATCAGATTATAATTATAACTATTCACGAATTGCGACTATCTGTTCAAGGAATGATCGCAATGATTGGAGTCAAGCAATGCTACAAGTGAATGCTTTTAAAACTTCCTTTTATGCTCACTTAATACAAGTGAAGGCTTATCGCCTCATTCTTTTCAACTTTACAAGGCGAAGCTTTCGCTGATGGATGTGAAAACTCCAACTACTAGTTACGTATGTAGCATCCGATGTTATCCGTCATATCACTAAACTATTCAAATATACTAAGACTATCGGGATTCTAATTCATGTAGACGTTCATGTATTTGAAGAGCCTAACAATATATGAAACATATCTGACTGCATTATTAGGCCAATCTTGTATAGCCTGATCAAGAATGTACGGGTTTCTGACACCAATCAGTAACAAGCGGGATCGTTGTATAGAGCCAAGAGATTTACCCAGATGTCACATCGTTGGTCAAATGCATCACACATTATTTGCTGCATATGACGCCTTGAACACAACTAAATGTTGATAGTCAGTGTCACTTTTGATACGATTAAACTGTCAACAACATCCAAAGTATCCTCCAGCAAATTAATATCGTGTCGTTGTGCTGTGCATTCAACAAACGAATTAACGTGAAACCACTCTCCATTACAATGAACGTAAAGCCCACAATTTACTTGATTTGACTTGGGAAAGCTACCACTTTTCCTCATAGCGTTGAATCTCCAAATACCAGTGTAAGTAAATGGAAACTTCTGTTGTCTTGTATTGTGTCGTGTTGTTATGTCAGTGGTACTTTGTAAAATCCAAAATAACGTTGTGCATTTCTCCACTACTTTCTTATCTTCCTGATACAAATGGCCACACAAAGCATATTCTGCCTTGAATTTTCTTTCACAAGTATCCCTCCTAATGAGATAGTTTGGCTAGGGGTACTTCACCGTCAGAAAGTTTGGGAGTAATTATTTGATGATTTCATGATAAATTTCATCATGGACAGCCATTGGATAAAACACCTTCGAAAGACCTTCAGCAATTAACGACTCTTTTGCCTAAGTTTAACAACATCCGGTACTGTACACCGAGTTATCAGTTCTTTTCATTCCTATATTAAAATTCATCTAACATCTTCTGGGCTTTAATGCAACACAACCATGAGGTCAGGCGTGCGTTCTATTGGACAATTGTAGGTCAGAACAAAATAAGTGATCAATGCTTCATAGACCTCAGTGTTTGCATCGTCTGTTCATAACTGTCTTCGAGTTGTAGACAACTTGCTTTCTGCTTTACATCTTCAGTATGATTACACATTGAAAGAGGTCTCAGTGGATTTCATAACTATAGTCTGTTTGACTGGTTCTTTATTTACAGGAATTCCAGGCAGTCAATCATTAGCTTACAGACTCGAAACTCGGATGTTAAGGAGGTGGTCAGTTTATTTACGGATATAATTTATCAGTAAACTCTTGAGCAACTGGAAGGACTATTCTGTCGTATTATTGCCATTTTACTTTCCATTCCTGATTTCACAACTACGTGATGCACAATAATTATTTCACTCAGCTCATGCTGTAGTTTCAAGTATCCTAAGTGTCAACAAATCCATATTTATTCATAAGGGAGCATCAATTCTGCTTAAACACACGCTCTTGGTCTGAAGTGTATCGATAAGCAGTAGCAGGCAAATATTGTGTATCCGATCTGTAAAATAAACATGGTTCCAAAACACAATGCAGCCCTGATGATAAAAAGACTCTAAATCTGTTAAAGACTTTGTTGACAGAACACTCATCAATCCATGTTAAGAGATTCCGCGATTACAAATCTTATCAGTTTAATTATGTGCATATTATATTTCCTTACATAAATTTGTTCCTTTTCATGGGACATAATTGATTCGATCAAATCTGGTGTAAGAGCTCCACTTCCACTGGCGGGAATCAATTTAATCGGTAGGGAATTCATTCCGACACCTGTTGTTAACCATTGGAAACAGGGGAAAAGATAGGTTCCACAAATATCCTTACAGTTCGAGAGTGTGGTTTTCACTAAGAAACTCTCATTAGTTGTAGCTGATGGAGACGACGATGGCGGTGGTGGAGGTGTAGGCGGAGAGGAAGGAAGAAAGGAGTTATTTGGAACACTTGTTTGACTCCTGATTGGATCGAAAGTTGGTGAGAGTTGGTGAATAACTACATATTCCAGATACCAGCTGCTATCAGTAGTCACACTGTTACTATCATTTCCGGTATCAATTGGTTCTAACCATATGGTGAGTGCCTTCAGTCTTCCAAGGAATACAGCTTCTATATTAAATATGCTTGTCTAAAGAAGGAGGAGAAAAAGGAAAAGTGAGATAAACGACATTTATGAAAGTAGTTACGAAAATGCCAGTTAAATGGACCTCCGTATGAGTGTAAGATTGAATAAATATTTAGACCTCGTCATGATTAGAAAGTGATTTACCCTTGAATCTAATCTTCATCAAAAACTAACATCACCATTTTGCATTACGAAACATCGAAATGACATCACAAAGTGACTAACTTCACTGAAACACCCAAAATATCCTCTGACTGACAGTGTCAAATTATTTGAAATACTTTACTCTACAATGAGCTACATGAATATGGAAGATAAAAAAACGTCGCATATGACTGTAAACATGGTCTTTACTGGATATGAATTTGTCATCCCACATTAAGATATCAGCTCTTACAAATAATACTTGAAATTTTCAAGTAATTTGAGAAACATCAAAACACCTTTCACATACCTCAGTTATTCCACCTACCTGCTAAACTAAGTCTCAACATTTCATTCACAAACACTTATGTTATGTTCTGAGCACCCGACATCTGCTTATTGGCTGAGTGACAATGTTCCGACTGCTAACAGAACTTCTGCTCAGTTTTCATTCCTCCAGTTGGAAGAGAATGGAACTCTCCATTAATTATTTTCATGTTACCCAGTTTACCTTAGAATAAAATTAGCTTTGAAAACAGAAAGAGGTTTATTACTTTGTCTCGCGTGCACATATAGTGCGAAATGTAAGGCAATTTCTGTATATCTTTCAATTTGAACTACCCAAGGAACACATTGTAAACACAAAACTGAATACACCAATCTATGTTTGCACTAATGTATGGTTGGAAGTTTTACCGGACCAACGGACTCTTTTAAAAGTCAAGACAATAGTTGACTCGGGTGTGCATGTCTTTAAGAAATGCTTATACTGCTGATTTTAGGCATACAGTCTGATTTGTCATTAAATAAGTTTGTCAATAAGGTGAGTACGTTGGAGCTGTAACATCAGTGATGCTTCTGTTGATCTGCAACTGCAAAGAAAATGTTTTATTTTCAAGTATTTGTTTTGTAGGGATTTAGTTTCATTTGATGGATGGTTTCATCATCAGCTGACATTAGTTAGAGAACCACTGGAAAATCTGGGAGTACTGGATAGATGTTTCGTCCTAGTTCAGGACTCTTCATCAGTACTCACCCACCGGGGTTCGAAACCAGGAGCTTCTGGTCTACCAGCTCGCCTTGTAACCAAATTGTTTTTTACTGTGCCAATCCCCATCAAGGTCCTGAACACACACTTAGGTGAACAAGAAGCAACTGTCATGTCATAACCAGTACACTAAGCATAGTTAGAACATAAATCCTATATTATTCATTAGTTTAAGTGGATAAAGTCACTAATCAATATAACAGCGTAGTTAGAAATAAACCCTACATCAAACAAATATTATTTCTGGCTTTCTTCTAGTTATTGTGGCCATTTTTTGTCGAATTGCTTCACATACTTTTCCTCTTAAGAATGCCTTCTTTCTATCTACTTCTTCATTCCACAGGGTCCGTTGTCCTGTATCGCCACGATCACCTTGGAGCAGAATGTTGACATTAACTCCATTGACGCCTGCGTTCCAAAGGTTGCCAGTCTTTGTAATCAGTTGATATTGCATTACTGAAAAGAGAAGAAAATGATGCCTTGAATGTATCACTACAGAATGTCGTTAAAATTAGTCTAGGCATTTGTTAGTTTATGGTAGTTGTTATACCTGAATGTAGAATTATGCGCATATTGAAAAACTTCACTTTGGTAACTACTGAAATCTTAACCCAGTATTTCATAAAAGTGTGATGGTCAGCGAATTTGAAGTGGGCTAGTAGGCTTAAAGACGTCCGCCAGTAGTCTGTGGTGTCCAGTAAGAGATCTTTGTGTATTTATTTGCACGTAAACAACATTTGCACAGTGATTAATATGGATTCCACTTCTTACTGATATTGTCATCTTATCATCTCATCATGCTAGTCTAGCTCAGATATTTTCATCAAAGTTGGTTATATTAGTCATCCATTTTTGTTCACATATTAGTTTAATTCTTTATAGGCTTCTTCCACTGCTAATTGATTCTACACTGACCTAATATTTATTCATTCTTTCACTTGCAGTCAGACTGGAATTCATTTACTTAATTGCCTTCAGTATTTCGGTGGACCAATGTCACTTTGGTTGACAATGCAGCTTCATTGAGCTGATGAGTAGTCAGTCCTTCATTCTACTGCTAATTTTTTGTATGAAAATGTTTATTGACATATTTAATTGTACTGTACAGTACTAATGAGAAACAACTTGAATAAAATGAACGCAGCTTCGTCTGCCAGATACTACTTTTAACAAAATATATAAGCACTACGAAGGCTCATGCAAATTATCTAGGCTGTTCCACATATATGAATACTAGCAGTGACACTAGGCAGCATTCTCAATACAATGCCTAAGATGGCACCTGTCATAAATGCTTGTAACAAACTCACCGCATCTTCATATATCCTGAAATGAAAGTGATCGTAAGTGTTATCTTCACTAGAATAGGTTAGGCCGTCGGAACGTCAATCAAGGTGTTCATCTGAACAAAATAACAATCTCCTGTATACCTCTACTGCAAACCCTCCAGGCGATTTGGAGTAGACACATGTAGAAAAAGAATTAAAGATCTTAAGAATAAGCGTGATGGATATCGTCTGGTGTTTTCCTAGCTTTTGCATTTCCTCACCAAACTTGATGACATCTTCAGCACTAACTTCTGTAAACATGCTTCTTATGCTATTTATTGGTTATTGTTATTCAGCTTCTTCATACCACTTTCGTGAATAAGTGGCTTTTATTGTCTTGCATTCAGCTAACGATAGTATACAGACATAAGTTACTTTAACAACAGTCGTTTGTTCGAGAAAGCTTTTATCTTAATTTTGTGATTCTTTGTTTTATCCTTCTTTGATTATGGTTATTCTGAATGCACAGGTATTTGTTCCTGTCATTCGCTTGGTACCTTATTGACATTTGTCTTTATCCGACCATATCAAAATGCTTGAAATTAGTGTGATACTGGGCTTGCGAGACTCCTGTGTATCACATGAATGAGATACTAATACTGCTATATGTATACAATAGCCATATGCATACATTTATATATATATACATAATAAAATTCCCTGTTGGCGAATGTTTGACGGAAGAGAAATCAGCATGATTGCAAGATGAAAAGGTCAAAGCTGATGATAAACGTCTTTTCCTTTTTAAAAACATACATTTAGACATTTATGTGGTAGTGAAAATTGTGGACTACTTGTTTCATTGGTCATATTTGAAGAATTTATTTGTGGATTTTTGCATAGAATTATCATGACAGCCACCCTATTTCTATTCACCTCACCTGTTAATCACTTTAATGCTGTAACTAACTACTTTTAGTCACTACACCGATGACTCAATGGAGTATCTGACCTGTCTTATTTTGACAGTGAAGGGTAGACAGACGATTAGCTCTGGGATCATCCTGATAATCGAGACTCAAGAAATACATTTTGGAGTTAGATATCGTTACGGGCTGACATCAACTAGAGTACTGTTGAAGACTAAGGAAAACTGGACAGCAGTTTCGTCCCATTTGGGGACTGTTCGGTAGCACGTACCTATGGATTCACCAGACATCAAAACCAGGACATTCAGTTCAGATGATCAGGTGACTCTATTATCAGTCAGATGAAGGAATCTGGCGGTCTGAGGATTCAAGCTTCTGTCAGTTCGTGATGTACAGCATCATCACCAACCACAGGTACCATACCACTCAGCGGATTCTCTGGAGTTATAGTGAGAAGTTGTGAGCAAGTGACGTCCATCAAGTTAGATGTGCAGGAAGATGACTACCACATAAGTCAAACCAGCACAAATCAGCACTCGAATATAAGGTTTTCAATTTAAAGACTTCAGTTGGACAAATCAACTCAAGCTAAATCAATGAACAGTAAGGACAACTTTTTCAGCGCTTAACTTACCAGGAGATCTTTCTTCTTGTTGAAATAATGTTGCAATGTCTAAGGGATATGCTTTCATGATTCTTCCAAATAAGCGTCCTTGATCACGTAATTGTGTTCCAGGCGCAGCGATTTCACGCACTAGACTACCGTCTGCTTTATATCTTGACAACCATCTCATACATGGAAATGTCATTTCACATGATGTTGCGGTTGGAGATGAAAAACTAGTTTCTTCTTCTGAATTTTGAAATTTATTTGAAGGGGGATTATTCTGAGAGCACATCTTTAGTGAGTCAACTGACTGATTAGCATTACCCGGTGATAATCTTAGGCATATCTCTTCAGGTAACCATTCAGGGTAATTACCGTAACCATCATGACTCAGGCGTATTTTACTGATTTCACCAAAATCATTTAAGGGTATCTAAAAAGGGAAATGCCATAAGAAATTATTAGTTTTTAACTAACTGTAAAATGCATAGAAGAGTTACGCATAATTCTATTCTGTCCTATTTGACAATTTAAAATCATTCAGTTCTGTAAAACTATACGACAACGCTTTCCCCTTTAACATGTGCACATATATTCAAATGAATACCTGTCAAACTCCGCAATGTAAATATTCGCCTTGTATGAGTTAAAAAAATGTACGACATGTTTTTAATGTTGTTATACAACAGCCTTTTGTTAGTGAGTTGTTAAACTTCATCACAAAAATATATAGAACTACTAAGAATGATCAGTGAAACAGTGAAACACTGTGACGACAATTAGAGTTTGTCTTACAAGTCACTCATCATGTAAAGATACTTTACTTTACTTCGGCTATCTCCTACGGGAGGATGAGCCGGCTTCATGAACATCTCGAACGTTTGTAAGAGAGTTCATGAAGTTTCATGGGAATTTGGTACTAGTGATGTCCCCAGAATCGCTCGGCCTTTTAATTGAGAGTGCAGCTCTAGCCTTTACACAACCAAGTGTGACCTACAAGGCAGTAGGAGTGGAGTAGGGAGTCCACTATCCATTGGCAGCCGGTGACCGGAGTTCGGTTCATACGCCTTTTCGAATGGGGCCAGACATCCAGGACATCCAACAAGTCCTTTGTCCATACGTCTGCCGGTGAGCTCCAGTGAGTTTCATACGCCAGTCGTTGGAGGTTTGGAATCAGGGTTTAGCCACCTCCCCTAGACTGTCATCCAATGGACAGTCAACCCGGTGAAGAGCGCCGGGCATCCGCTCGTCCTGAAAGTTTTCATTTCGATAGTTATGCGGGGATTTCAGGATGCAGTTTAAATATCACCTGTTGTTACAGAGAGCAGCTGTAGCTGTTATTGTCGTTCTATAATCCACATTGGTCTGATAGGCAACAAATTTCAACTCTGATAAAAGATTTATCTTACCATTTTCATCGACCATTCAGGTATATTCTGCTGAATACACTCAGATTATGAATTTCCCAACAAAGTATACCTGCAGACAGCTTAAGCACTTAAACCCAGAATGGTTTTTTTTTAATTCGAATACTTCCATCATATAAGCAGCTTTAATTGATCTTACAAAGTTTACCAATAAATAGCAGAATCCTTTGATTATCGTGTTACGTGGCGTAAGGATTTATTCTTGAAGAATAACAACCACTGATGACTTGAATCAAATAAAACTGAAGCAAAGCACCTATGATGATGATTTAAGACTGGACAGACTTTTTAAATACCTCTAAAATGATAGGTCACATAAGTTATGCAAGCTGTTTCAAACACATCCTTGACAATATAAGATTTCTTTTCTGAGTAGGAAAATCAATCACTATGCAGTTTTCGCAAATGCACATTTTGTCTGTTTTTTGAAACAATTTTTCTCCTTGAACTAAGTAACTGGAAGTGGAACGCATATAATTTGAATAGTTATTAACTTCGCTATTTTATATAGTTGGAAATAGGGAAAATGTCGGTGATGTGGTCTGTATTAGTAGAAAAGCTTTTGAATTATTTTATGAATCAGTTGTCCACTGAAAACTGATCGAATGTTTTAAAATAGATCACCGAACAGCCTTCCTGAAACACTATTTTACAACCATACTGCAGCTCGCTATCGTGAATATCCACAATGCTACCTAGCTCCAGATGAATAGGTAAAGCGGTAGAAACACACATTAAGGTGACCAGAGAAAGAAGCTGGTATATTAAGTGAAGGGACGTAAATCTTGGGGTTTCCAAAGATAAACTAGTGTTTATAGCCAAGAACATTTGATTGACTGAATTAGAAACACTGGCCCCACCTATATTTGATGTTTGAAATTCAGATGTATGTACTTGAAAATACTATTTGTTAGTGAATTTGTTCAAATACATTGTCTTCGACGAATTTCTTGTTCTTGAGGTCTAAATGAAAATTAATAAGTGACGAGGAGATTTTTTCTACAGTTGATCTGTAAGGATTAGATTTGTTTTTACGAGTTGATCATGGATTGATATCAGTTAGAGAACCATTGAAAACCAGCACTGGAGTACTGGGCAGCTGTTTCATCCTAGTTTGGGAATAATCGGCAGTGCGCACCCATTGCCAGGGTTCTAACGCAGGACCCTCCCGTTACAAGGCAAGCTCGTATACCATTCAGCTGCTGGGACCCCATGAATTCTAACTTCTACCAATTCGTGATTTAGCGCGACCACCAACCAATGTTATCGGTGGGACATCCATCCTCACACTTGACTGGATGGACCTCACTGGTCACGAATAATCACTAGAACTCCAGGAAACTCCGTCCTGTAGGAATTTTTTACCATTTATTACAAATAGCTGAGCTGTATGGATCTTCTGTCTATTTCAACATACTTCAGTATTTGGCAGGCATAAATGTCTCCAGTACGCTTTTCTTAAGCCCAACTTATAAGCCATAAAAACAAAAGGTTTATGCAGAATATCAGACTAAATTTCACTGATTGCATCAAAATATTAACATCCAGTAAGCAGAGAGAACTCACTTCAAAATAATCAACACTTCCTGGACAAAATGGTCCAGTCAGTGTACTGCTTATGACATCAGATCCACTTGACTCGTTACCTTGATCAAGTTGTGTATTTCCATTATTGTTTTGATTTATTGTACAAATATAAGCGGATCTAAGTAATATAGGTTGAGTAGATTGATATTTATTACAAATTGTAATTGTTGGGTTCGCTGTACAAATAGATGAATACTGTTCGCCTGTTTGTGGATCATGTTGACCAGATTTAATGAACACCTGACAGACTGAATAAGCAAAGTTAAAACTGTAATTTCTATGATGCAGAAATATAAGAAAATATGGTTGGAAAATAAATAAACTTGTATGTGAAAATGAATCACTGTTAAAAAACTAAATTCGTCATAATTTCATATAGTGATGAAATGGTCTAATCAGCAATGAATTGTTTTGAGACAGTTTCCTTTTTTATGAATTGAAAGCTTAACTGGATATAGTGACGGTTGAATAAACAGAATGAATATTTACACAGTCAAACCTCACTAGATAATGACTGAAAGTGAAATGATATCATCTGACTATACAGGTAAGTTGGTGCTTTTTATTTTGGTTTTGTGTATTTATTAAATTCATGCCAAATTTTATTGTAGTTTGTAATTTTTTTTAAATATGTCAATTTATCAAATTTATCAGCTTTATCTCTTTAAGGCATAAGCATTTACAGTCGTGTTTCACTCTCTAAACAATTAGTAATCAGACTCACTAGAGTAATATATGATATGATTAGAAAGTCAGAATTCTAGGGAATGACATTCAAGACATTTTAAAGTCCAGTATTTCAAAGTGAAGTGATTTGTTTTCATACTAACAGAACCTCCAAAATGAGAGATAATCGTCCTCATTCTTCCAAACACGTTTTACCACCCTTATGTTTTGTTGACTTAATGATTTTATGTGCTTTCCCAAAGATACTGACAACGCATCGCTACATCTTACAATGTTACGAACCAGTTGCACAGAGCCTTCAATTGTTCAGTGTATATTGTTACGGAGACCTGAAGGATTTTGAAAGTTTTTGCGGAAATAGTCATTTCACAGCAGTACCACATACTTTAGCTGTCAAGTTTATCTTTTATTTACTTAATTATTCTTCAGGATAAAATATCCATCAGTATGAAGTACATCAGTCGACTTTCTTTTAACTAAAACGATCTTATTCCTGCAGTCTGAGTTTTCAGTTCACATTTTTAAGTGCATTGGCTAAACTGCTAGATGTGAATAGCGAAACAACCGCTTATCTTCTCCCCTTTTTAAGTCAAAGGCTCAAAAGCAGCAGCTTGTTGTAAACAATTAAAAATGATAACCTACGGCTGGGAAAAAATGTTAATTCTCAAGATGTAGAATAAGCATCAGTAAAACATTATTTGAACAAACGAAGCGGCGACTCTATTGAAAAAATTAAACTTATAATTGTCAAAAGTAATTCTAACATATAAAAAGACTTTATGAAAACTTTTGAAAAATTCCGAAAAAGCAAAATAAAAAACACCTGGGTCTCCAGGTTTGTCAATATTGTGGTCTTTACTGTCAAATATTGGGTTTTTGTACTTTTAGACTTGATAGCCGAATAGTTTTCTTGATAAGTCTGAATTATGCCTCAGATTAGCACGATGGAATCATTAAAAACAAAGCAAGTTCATCAAAGTAAATAATAGGCTGAAACAACCGAATCAGACCATCAAAACTTTCGATGAATACATCTATCAGTTCATTGGTAAATTTGACTAGCATAATCTCACCATTGTAGTAACATTTTGAACTATACACTGATCCATCACAGTAAGAAGCTTATTTTTACAAAATAAGTGTTTGAATTTTCCCCATATCACTCCAACTAATCATGCGGGCACCATAAGAGGAATGATGCATGAATTCAATTTTTCTTTCACCTTTATTCTTGAGTTTTTGAAGAAGACAAATCTTCAACCATAGAGTAGTACTTCAGCATCACGACAAATGGGCAGTGCATCTTAAAGAAATATCAAATAATTATGTGTACATGCATGCACTGACTGAAAGAGGAAAGAAGTTGTACAGGAAAATGCTACTTATCCCATAAAAGAAAATATGTAATTAAGACGTAGAACAACAATAGATGCACAGTGTTGACGAAAAAGTGGACAGCGATATATATGGGCATAATGGTCAAAACAAATTTTTAAAAACTATTACTTGTAAACACACACTGTATATCACATTGTCACAAACAAAGTGAAAACAAAAACACATGGCAACTACAATTCATTAATTAAAAGATTCGCCAAAAAGTTATTATTTATTCATCTAAATAAAAAAAACAAATCTCAGGAGTTATTAGGAATAATTATACACTATCTAAGTATCATGCATTATAATCTGAGAAAAATATTTCCTCTAATTATTTATACAAGCGTAAATGGTGTAAATTGGAGATTTTTCGTATTGTTTAGTCTAAATAACCATTACCTTCCTCTAGGTAAACGCTAGCATGCGTGGAAAAATAGATACATACATGTGTAGGTGTACACAGATTGTATGACGAATAAACTGAAATTTGTTCATCAGTCTATATCATGCGAATGGATTATTGACTAAAGAAATAATGACGAAAAAGAGGAAATAAACTATGACTTTAATTGGTGGATAATGACTAGCAGTGAAATCAAGGATGCGCATTTCATCCTATCTGGGACTCGTCATCTGGATGTGCCTGCATTCCGCAGTGAGTGATGATGTTCCCAGCGAAGCTCGAACCCAGTGCCCATAGTTTCAAACGCCAAAGCGTTATCTATCCACTAGACCACTCGGGCCACGACAGCCACTGTCTCTTGTGCAACGGGTCATATTATTAATTATTTAATTCAATTTTACATTTTCCCATCGATTGATTGGATCGAAGTGCTCGGTCTCACGTACATCCAGATGACGAGTCCCAAATAGGAGGAAATGCGCATCCTGGATTTCACTGCTAGTCACCATCCACCAATTCGATTCTAATTAAATGCCCAGACATCGTCGAAGCATCTATACGAGAAGCCGACATGTCAACTTGAGACCGAGCACTTTGGTCCAATCAATCGACGGAGAAATCTAAAAAATTCAATTAAAATAAATTATGACCACCTGCAAAAGTATAATATGAAGGCGGTTTACTAACAAAGTTCAACAACATTTGTGGTGAACCTACGAAACATATCAACAGGTTCTTGAAAGTCAAGTTGATTCTTTTTTCTCAAATTTGAAAAAGTGGTTAAATATCACATAAAAAACGGTATTCTGGAAGCCACTATTGCAAATATTGTGCACTCCAATTATAAATTTCTATCTTATTCATCACTTTTATTTCACAGGATTTTTTCACCAACAACAAAGTTCACAAAATCAAAATAAAATGAAACTGTTCAAAATTAGCTGTAGAGTATATGTATTGCGTTCTAGTGCATTCTAGAGATTCTGTTTTGGCTGATTTCTTGATAAATGACCAAAGGCAAGAATTCATCAAAAAAAGTAACAAATAAATAAACTCAATAATCACCTCATTTTCTTTCTTTAGAACTACTGAGCATCAAATATACGATATTCGCTGTAGTAAATACTTCACAAAATTTATTACTATGATTTCCTATTCTGTGTTGTCTTTCGTTGAGCACACTGAACTTTGTTCACCAGCATATTTAAAATAATTACAAAGTGAGCAAACTGAAAACTGTTGGAGAATTATTAATACGTAACAAGGTGTAGACAACAGATGCTAACCTTCCATTACAAGTTTGCATTCCAAGTTTGATAAGCTACCTGTGAAAGATGGTCAAGGGAACTTAATTACCAAGGAAGAGAAACAAATAAAACAATGGGCTCATAACTTCAAAGAACTCTAGAATCAACCATCACCTGCAACTCACCCAACAGCACGCAAAGAACTGCCTGCCAATAGATACAAACCCTAAATGCGATCAAGCTACTCAACCCCAATCAGGAAGGCAGCGGGGCCAAACATAATACCCTCCGAAGCACTGAAAACGGACCCAGAGACTTCAGCAGATATTCACACGCCATTACTGCAGACGGTTTGGAAGAAAAGAATGGTGCCTACTGACTGGAAGAAAGGCAACCTTGCCAAGCTACTAAAGAAGAGCGACTTAAGTCATTGCGAATACTGGTGTGAAATAATGACCTTGTCTCCGCCAAGTAAAATACTAAGTCGTATCAACCTTAACAGAATAAAAGATGCACTGGATGCGGATCTCCACCACCCACCAGAACAAGCTAGCTGTTATCAGGAAAGGCAAATCATATGCTGATCAAACTGCAACGCTACTCATCATCATCATCGAACAAAGCACAGAACGGCAGTCAAACCTGTATCTTAACTTCATCGACTTCGAAAAGGCCCTCATCAGACGGCGTTGACGGAGAAGTAATTTGGAAACTGCTTCAACATTACGCCGTGCAGTGCCCAAGTCTTTTTCATCCTCATTCAGAAGCTGACTATATGACAATGCCACGTGTCAGTCAGGTGATCCACAACGAGAAACTCAGTGAGGCGTTCGAAGTGCTGGCTGTCTATTATCACCGATGATATTCTTAATTGTGGTACTCGAGTGGATTATGCGTCAGACTGTTGAGAACAAGGAGTCAGGAATACGCTGGACGATCGATGATAAGACTCTAGAAGATCTGGATTTAGCAGATGATAAATGTCTAATGTCACACAAACTTGAAGAGCTGCAGACAGGCAAAAACCAACAAACTGGTAGAAGACGCATGCAGCGAAGACAGGACTCCAGGTAAACGTAAAGAAAACAGAGATGACGAGGACAACAAACCAACAACAACAACAGAGACAATAGCTAGCACAGATCACCACCAAAGGGAAAGATTTGACAGAGGTTACTTGCTTCACTTATCTAGGAAGCACAGATTCAACCACAGATGGAACAGATGAGGAGTTCAAAGGCAGCCCAAATCGGAAAGGCAAAGTACAACTTCATCAACGTGAAACCTGTTTGCAAATCTTTTGCACTCGGTCAGAACAAAGAGGAAGATTCAGATTTTAAAAACAAATTTGAAGTAGGTCAGTCCTTCTATACGGGTCAGAAGCTTGCACTGCGTGTCACGAAAAGGATTTCCATCAAGTCACAGACTTTTGTCAACAGCTGCCTTCACTGACTCCCTCTTGAAGATTAAATGGCCAACCTGCCAGAAAGAATTTGCAACAGGAAACTCTGGAAACAAGTCAGCCTAGAACTGATCGCTCAACAGATATGTAGCAGAAAATGGAGATGGATCGGGTATACGTTGAGGAGGCCATCAAATGACATCGCGCGACAGGCCCTTGAGTGGTACCCTATTTAGAAGTGTTGAGTGGTACCCTATTTAGAAGTGTTGAGTGGGTAGTCTGATGGTGACACGGAGGAGGTCCTGTGAGGAGGAGATTAAAGGCTTATAGTCAACCGTTGACCCAGCTGAAGAGGACATCAGAAAATAGAAGAGAGTGAAGGTGTGTTGTTGAAGCCCTTCAATCGGAACCCAAGGGAATAATAAATAATATAATAATGATTATATTACTTTCATGAAAGTTAAAGTAGTGTGATGAGCCTAACTAAATATTCAGTAGGAATGGAAGAGTTTTCCACTGATGAATTGAAAACTCAGTTTAAGGTTGCTGAAAGAATGTATTAAACTCTTGGTTGCATTAAAATCCAAGATTCATTATGCACCCTGACAAGTTAAGCAGTTCATATTTAGTTTTAGATAATTTATTCAGCTTCATCTCTTCTTATAGTCGTCAAGTAAATAACTGGAAACATTTATTTCCCGATACGAATTTAAAACAAGCAATAAAGGTTAATAAAGCAGGATTTAATGAATTCATCAAATTTCGGTAGGACTCATCAGCTGAATACTCTACATACACGGATATATATACTTTTGAAATTACATTGGGAGATATAGGACTGAATGCTCTACATACACGGAAGCAAATACGTAGGTCGTACGGAAAGGCGATTGTCTACTCGCATGATGGAGCATTTACCGAAATGGTTGAAAACAGCTTAGTGCAAAGTGCCAAAAACCTCAATAACAAAGCATCTTGTGGATTATGGACATGATATCGACGCGGTCAAGTCATTCACTATTGTCAGCAGACAAAGAAACAAGAAGATGCTTGCAATTGCAGAGGCTTGTGCAATTCGAGTTTACAAACCAGGTCTCTGTGTACAAAAGGAGATGGTCGTGACTCTGAATCTACCATGGTAATACGTTTTACTCATAATTCTACCTCTTGTTATTATTGTTATTTTATTATTATTATTATTCTCATTATTATTATTCTTGATTCATTTAAAACTATCCTTTATCAGTAGCATTATCTTAACTCACTTCAACACTATTATTATTATTATTGTTATTATAACTACTACTATTGACATCCCTCTGGTTGCAATTCTTGTTAAATTCTCTAATGTCTAATTGTTTATCTAAGCTATGTAATTGAAACGTAATGCAATTTATTTTAATTTTGATCTCCCATACTCTCTCTCCCCCCTTATCTAATTGAACATCACCTGAAAAAACATTCGCACCTGTCTTTCTGCATGACTAATTCAATGTAGTTTGTTTACTTATCAGTCCTATATCTTTTTTTTTGATATGTATATAAATGTATATATATGTATATATATATATGTATATATATATATATATATATGTATATATAATATATATGTATATACATATGTATATATATATATATATTTATGTAAATATATATACAAAAGAATGTCTCATAACCACAAAAAACTTCAAATAAATCTTACCAGTGTATCCACCATTTGAATCGCATACTTTATCTGACTGTTCATAAGTCTGCTTTATTGGGGGTAGAGCTGAGCTACTTGGTGATCTAGTTTGATTTTTCGTACGACTTACACTACGACTCAGGTATCTAGCCGGTTGTTTTATTTCTTGAATTGGACGAAAACGCTCTAGGCCAGCAGCAACAAATTCACTTGGACCGTCAAGTAGTTCGTGTAATGTCTCTACCTAAAATTAAACAAAATAATTAGGAATAAAATTGTTACAGTTCATAAAAAGGACTAATTGATAAACTGCAAAAGGAAATTGTTAATGTGCAATAAATCCATTATGCCAAGGTCGATTTTTAAAAGGACTGTTTCGTAGTTGCGTACTGTGTAGTTCTAGGATTCTGAACAATGAAATGAAATGAAATTCACTCAACATCACTACTTTTAGACGAAACTGAATTGTAGTGTGTACATTCACCGAAAATAGGTTAGAACAAAAGTATTATGACTGAGCCTTCCGGATGATAAAGGAAGCATTTCACAGATAGTTGTGACACAACTGGTAGGAAGACGATCTAGTTAACTGTGACGCAGACGACAGTAGAGGTGAATAAAACAAATTGGTAGCAGAGGTGAAGTTCATGTTGATATTTCTCTCTAATTTATGCCGTGGCTAAAAGATGCTTTCAATGTCTGCAATAAAAATGTATTAGATCTGGCCAAAAAAAGTCATTTATGTAACAGTAATACTGACAGATTCATTCGTATTGACTGTTGAAGTGAGAACGGAATAATGATAAGAAGCTATTTTCTAGACTGTGATAATCATGATACACACTCATCCTTTTCTAACGAATTTTCATCTACCGCTTCATATATTGGTGTTATTCTTAGCACGACTATAAAATATCTTTTTAATTCTGCTTTCTTCTTTGTAACGTATAAGAGTCCTGTCAATGAGCCTTTTGAATCTTTAATTTTATCTCCGTTAGTTTGAGAACACTATACCAGCGCCCTTTTTTTCTACTGATCGTTTGATCTGAAAGTAGCTAAATATCTACATTTTAATACCAATATGTGCGATACATACAAATATTTTTCTAGATTTCAAGTAAAGTAATGAATGCACAGTGTGAATATCGATTGTGTAGGAAAAGATCTCTATCCAACCTTAAGAAGTTTCACCGCCGCTAGAGGCGAAGATTAAACAGTATACATAATTAGGCAATAGATAAAGAGACGCCTAAGAATTGGTTCGACAACAATTGTGTTTCAGAAATAAGAAGTGAAATCAATCGGGGTCTCAAACAATAAGGCGAAATACTCTCTGATCGATTATGACCATTTCATAGCATATTCCATCCTGTATTTCATTCTCATTCTTTTGAGGGAGACACTACCACCACGCTTTATAGATAAACATATAAAGCTGAAAATCAACAAAGAACAACCCGTCTCTGTACCAAAGAAGATGCCACACATGAATGTGGCGTTCAGAGACGACCTTCTGTCCAACATCTTAAAGAGAAGAATATCTAACACCCTCAAAAGAGAATTCACTGCTGCTACATTACGATTGATATTCTCAAGCCGCCCATTGTTCAACAACTCGCATTTTGACCACTTCTTTGTGTATCTACCAGTTTACTTGCTCATTTGAAGCGAGATATATAGGTCGTTTGATGCGTGTTTCATCCAAAAGAGTCGAAGAACATTATCCTGCTGGTTACGAAAACGTAACAGTGGATCAATAAAGAGTGCTATAGTTGAACAGATATTCAACATTGGTCACTCAATATGCACGCAGAATTCATTCAAAGACAAAAGAAGTCTCCCGAAAACAGTAGGCTCCTTTATACCTTGCACTGTCGAGGCCTTAGTGATCTGGATATAAAACCCTGATTTATTCATACAGAAGAAACTTATTCAACCCCTCCTTCTACCTTAGGTATAATCCCAAGTTCTACGACTTTGGTAATAATGTTTTGTTTTCTGAATTTCTGTATGGCATCTTAGTAACATTTTCTTATTAACCAACCCTTTATTTACTCTTGCTACCTATTACACAATTTATTTTCTGGATATGCGTCTCCATTATCATCCTATTTCATATTGCGCAACCCTTGTCATTGTTTATCAATCCTCAACCCCCCCCCTCTAATTACTATTTTGATTATTCATCACATTTTGGAAACATTCTGAGGACGTAAATAGTAACCCTAACTGATTTTCGTTTTATTTTTGTTTGACAATCCTAATGTAAAGAGACTCTTCGGTGAACTGTGCGTCGGTGGCACAGTGGTTAGGACTCTCGCCGACCATGCACATGGTCCGAGGTTCGAGCCCCTGCCGGCACACACCCGATATCTATGGTCGGCCTGCAAAATTTGGGCTACCGATATCCATGCTGAAAATGCCATACTTGTACTGAAAATATGGTGTGGCATCAAGCTGTAACCAAAATAAAAAAATAAAATAAAAAAAACTTTGTTGTCCATATAATTCCTATATAACTGACAAGTAAAGATTCAAAACATGTGCACATTTTTGATCAGATGTTGGTAATAGATGGCAATCACCTAAATTAGTGGAGAGAATGGACCCGCATGAATATTTGTACTTGACACTGTGGCTGTTACTGGTAGATTTAGTTGGCATTTTGTATGCGAAGAGTTCAGGGAATTTGCACTTTCATTGTAGATAATGTTTTATTTTGATAAATCATACAGTGCTGTACAGCATTATTTCCTGATGACTACGTTTCGAGCACAAATTATTGCTCATAATCATATCAAGTCACTCACACAACTTTTCGCTTCATTAATATACCTGGGTAAAATTGATGATTAGACATTTGAATAAAAATAAATAAGTATAAGATAAAGTACATTCAGAAATAATATTAGTGTTATCAATAAAATACAATAAAATGGGAAGTAAGATGTGTTTTTTTTACAGTAAAAATATCTTCCATATCTCTGGTATGTGTGTTGAGTCACCTTATTTGCACGTGTTAGGTGTAGACTCCTTGAACAAGGTTTGAGTTATCAATTTCTCTCTCTCTCCACCCACCTTGATTACTTCTTAGAATGCTGACTCTCTCCCACCCTATTGTTTGGTTGTGTGTTAATGTATGCAGTACTATAGCTGAGTTTTTTTCTAAATTACTTATATTTGTGAGATCAGTTTTGACTCTCTCCCCCCCCCTATTGTGTGGTTGTGTGTTAATGCATGCAGTACTATAGCTGAGTTTTTTTCTAAATTACTTATATTTGTGAGATCAGTTTTGACACTCTCCCCCCCTATTGTGTGGTTGTGTGTTAATGCATGCAGTACTATAGCTGAGTTTTTTTCTAAATTGCTTATATTTGTGAGATCAGTTTTGACTCTCTCTCCCCCCCCCTATTGTGTGGTTGTGTGTTAATGCATGCAGTACTATAGCTGAGTTTTTTCTAAATTGCTTATATTTGTGAGATCAGTTTTGACTCTCTCTCCCCCCCCCTATTGTGTGGTTGTGTGTTAATGCATGCAGTACTATAGCTGAGTTTTTTTTCTAAATTACTTATATTTGTGAGATCAGTTTTGACACTCTCCCCCCCTATTGTGTGGTTGTGTGTTAATGCATGCAGTACTATAGCTGAGTTTTTTTCTAAATTACTTATATTTGTGAGATCAATCATTCTAACCTTAGCTAAACTCTTGTGTTCTAATAATCTGACTACCCTCGATCTACTAGTTTGACCTATGTAGTTGACTTAACCAGCAGTCATTGCAAGGCATTTTGTAAATTGTATTATTTTGTTTAATTGGGTCCACCAAGTCCTTGAGCCTACAGAGCTTGTAGGCTTCAATGCCATCCTAACTCCTGCTTTATAGAGAATCCTACGTAGGGTTGGTCGCAGATGTCCCTTCTTTATACGGTAAAACTGTACCACATATTAAGGGATTCTACTTAATTTGTTACATTCTCTTTTAAATAAAAACACTATGTTGAATTAGCATGAAGTCATGTTGTTCGATAGATGTTGCTTCATCTTTCAGTTACATTGTCAAACCAAAGTTGATCAATTAAATAAGATCATCTACACATAGTACTTAATATTTATTATACAATACATAGTTTTCGAAACTGCCATAAAAATATTAGTCTGCATTTACAAACCGATAGCATAAAGTTCAATGAAAATATAGAAACAAAAGCACGTCTAACTAGACATTGCATTTGGCGAACAAATTCTACTCTCCATGATCTGTTTTCTGTCTACTCTGTCAGACTGAACAAATTTAAAAATCAATCTTTGTCAAGAATGGAAAGTCTAAGGTTAAGATAGATTCATTCGAAGTTATTCATTGAAAAGACTAAGGTTGTAAAATATTCCAATTTAGATAAAGGAAAATTATTAGAGTTGATCATCAAATAGCAGATGAAGGTGGGAAAACTGTTCCTACAATATTTATTAGACAGTCAATCTGAACGAAGAATATTCTTTTCAATAATTTCTCTTCAGGTTCTCACAATTATAATATTATATATAATATTTGTTGTCGTTACAATAAAGGCCAGTTATGCGGCTGATACATTTTTAACGTAGAATAACAGATTAGTTATCGGGTGTCAAAATAAATAGTCGTATTTGTGTGACAAACGTCCTAGGTTGAATTCGATTACAAAATGTTGTAAAACGGGAGACAATGGTGATGCTTAGTCGTCGTAATAGATTTGTAGAGTGTTGGGTGGGAAAATTGACAAGTCAGTTGAAGGTTATGAAAGGTGTCAGGTGAGTGAGTGGCTAGTACAAAGTGGTCTGAGTTAAACAGGAGATAGTAAGACTGCAATGAGAGGTTGATAATGAAATAACGAATATGTGAAATGAAACAGGTGGAGGCATATATTGAGAAAAGAGATAATATCACTAATAATAAGTCCGGATAGTATAAATTTGTACCGATGAAATACAAACGTAATCGGATCAGACGCTTATCATTTAGAGCGAGGTCTATTTGTTTCGAAGACTGTGTAGAGAAAGAACTCCAGGTCGTCCGAAACATTCTAAGCGAGAACGGATATCCAGAGAAGTTCATTAAAGCCAACATAGGTTACAATAGTCGTAAACATGAACTGGTAACGGTGGAGAAAAAGCCTCTGTTTTTACGTCTCCAATTCAAGAGAGATACTTCTGCGGAGATTCCATCGCAACGTTTAACCAGGGCAATCAAGAAAACTTTCAACTCTGCACG